ATAAAACTCCGTAAATGTACAAACTGCTACTGTGTTCTTCATCTGTCCTATTTCATCTTAAATATGTAACTGTTCAGAGTAATGGCAATTTATTAATTTATGCTTAATATATTTTACTTGAAAGAAATGTATTCATTTACATCATGAAATCCATACATAATTCTCTATACCTGTTACAGATACTCTTAAGAACTTTATTTTAACCATATACTTTGCCCAGGGCTGACACAGACTTTTATAAAACTCTCACCGAAAACAAATAAATGAATGAGCTTGCATGTATCAAAGTACGGTGATAACAGACTTACGGAAAGGGGGATGTATGTATGATGTGAGGTGCAAAGATGAAGGTGTGAACATGCAAGCAGCTATTAGACATAGTACCTTACTGTTTTCTGTAAATTAAATAGGAGCAATCAAAACTATAGGTTAGATTTAATACTCTTTAAAACTCTTCTTTAGATTAATCAAAATGGTTTTGGTTACAAGATGCCGGATATCCCTGATGAATTTCCAGAACTTTCAGAACTAAGGTAAAAAACTTAGAGAGCAAAGATGGTTTTGTCTGTTTTATTTATAATTTATCTTAGTTAAGTAAAAGGACTTTTGAACTTTTCCCTGTTCCTTTACTGTGGTTGTTTTAGTGATAAATTGTTATAAGTCAGTTTTAGGCCTTTTAGGTTAGGTTTGTTTCCTGACTACTCTATACCAAGGGAATGTTCTAGATGCTAAGATTTATGTAATGATTACAAAGGTAGTAAGTTATTTTCTTTCATGTGGCTTGCATTCTCTGAAAATTACTTGTGAATATATAATATACTGATAATTTCAAAATAGATCTTTCATTGTTCCTTTAGAAGATTAATTTTGTATGCAGATAAATTGATTCAAGTTACCATAAAGTATTAGCAAGCTAGTTTTAGAGCCAAGATTTTATTCAAATACATAGCAGATAAGTTGATGAGATTCAAGTTTAAGGAATAATTTTTCATGAAACATAGATGCTTCATGAATAAAGCGTTTTGTGGTCCTTCAATTTATGAAGGCATTGCATCCCATGTACCCCACTAAAGATTGTGATAGTCACAAAGCTATTACTAATACCATTGAATATAACTAAGAATTTTGTAATTTTATATATATGTTCAGAATATATTCTACCAGGATTACACAGGTTACTGCCCATGAGAAATCCTATGGTTAAGAAAAGAAAAGGTTTCACTTTATTTGAACCAGCATTTTAGTTCATGGATAAACATCAGAAATAATTTTTAAAGAATCCAAGCCACAGGACAGAAATATGTATTATATAGATCTTAAGGGTTTAGTATGCATTATACTGCTTACAGTTTCAAGAGGTAGAAATTGCCCTAAGTTTGTTATGGAAACATCAAAACTACAGGAAAGAGAAAAAAAATTATATAATGAGCCTGCATGTTTCCCTCATGCAGATAATTCTGAACCTTTTTACTCATTTCATGGACCTTTCTATCCATCTCTGTTGGGTAGCTGTGGGTATGACTGATTTATCTTCCAGAAAAATCCCAGATGTTATATCATTTTCAACCAGAAATTCTGTTTCTTTTTCCATCTGTCTTGCTTTCTAGTCCCAATCAACATTATCATCATACCTAAAAATTAATGACAATTTTTAATATTCTTGTTTCACCAGTATTTTAATTGTTAACTGATGATTGTTCTTATTAGTAGTTATTGTGAATAAGGCTTCTAAACAAGCTTTACCTATTGTATTTGAATACTGGATTTCTTAAATTTCTTTTAATTATGAACATTTTCTTTCTACTTTTATACACACACAGTGACACACCTACATGTATTCATACATATATATGCCATTATATGTGTACTGAAGAAATTATTTGTCCTATGAAATCTCTCACATGCTATTTTTACCTGATTTCACTCTCATGCTACCATTGAAGATAGTCCCCTTTCCCATATTTCCTGTACTGGTAGCTAAAATGGAGATCTTGATTAGTCTCAGTTCTTTTGCTAATACATATATCATAATTCATGCCTTCTGTTACATTGCATAAGGAAATGATGATATCTGGTTGCCCTTTCATTATGACATGGTTAGAAAAGGTTGAAGCACCTGAAATCATTGTTAATCCATTATTTCATTAAGAATTGCAAGTGTGATTTCCTAATTTTATCATTCCTAATGCCAAAATTTATTAATCACAATTCCTTTCTTCTATTAAGAACTTTTCTTAATTATTTGATTATTTAATTTATTCATCTTAATTATTGATTATGAAGTGTATGTAATATCTTCATACAGGAAAGGCAAGATAAATGCTTTCTCCCCTTTGTCAGTTTTCATAATAATATGTTGTGCCTTAGGATACAGCATGTTAAAATGGATATCCAATGCTATTTTTTAAAAGCCCTTCCAGCGTTTATCCTGGATAATTATATAGGTTAGGAAAAAAAATAGGCTTGTTTTCAAAGAAATCTATTTTTTTAGAGAGGTATTTCTTCCTTTTATGTTAATTTTTAATTATCTTTTTTATATGGCTCCATACTTAAAACTAAAAGGATGGAAAGAGTATCCTTTCATCCATATGCCCATTACCTCATACTTTCTTTCATACTACAGATACCCAGTTTTGATTTTGCTTTAACCTTCCAGTCTTTATTTTCTTTTAATATTTTATGAGCATGTGTACACATGAGTCATATACATGTCTCTCTGTTCTAGTGACAGTGATGCCTTTATTAGTTAAACAGGCCCAGAGGTCAAAATGGGAAGTTATTATGACTGCTCATGTACCCTAGTCTTTGTAGTCCTGAAATAATTGGCCACAATACCATAACAGAGCCTGTTTACTAAAGTACAGGGAGATATCATTGGCTACATTCTTAGCTCTGAAAAAACAAACACGATCTCAAGCTGACTAGGTATACTAGTTTTACGTGAAGTTTTTTCACAAGTCAAAATTCTACAATAATTACTGTAGTTGCTTTCTGTTTTTTCCCCAAGAGGAAAGGATCTTTAATGTTAGTGTATCTCTAAACTTCTTATGAGTTTACCATATATATTAACCATCATATCTGGAAGAAATAAATTGCTTAAATATTACATACTAGTAAGGCTAGCTACTATGAGAGAAATTGAAGAAATAATTCATATTTTAAGGTAGTTAAGCAGAATTAAGAATAAGAAAAAATAATGGTATTACTGCTGTACTATTTTA